TTTTAATTTTATGAGAAAAATATGTTTGATTATTAACCTATTTTAGTATATCCAAGTGGTAACCAACTCAAGGCGGAACTCAAGAACTTGGAAGATTCCATCCGCAACCTGGAATGGAGATCTTGCAACGGTCTAAGACACTCGAAGAAGTTTCTGAGGGCTTATGATCAAGAAAAATCACAGATCTTCCTGGGTCTGAGTAAGAACAATCTTCGGATTGTCACGGGGTTTTTAACAGGACACTGTCTCCTCAATGAACACCTCAGTAGATTGAAACTAAGAAGAAACGGCGAATGCAGATTTCTGTGGGGAAGATGGGGAAACACCAGTACACCTCATCACTGAGTGCGCCGAGACGACAACCATTCGTGCCATGAATTTTGGTACGACTGATATTGGAGATGGAGAACTACCCTCTATAAAACCGTCCCAGATACTGGCTTTTGTCAAAGCCCTGGGACTGTATGATGAGTTATTATTCAAGAAAGGGGGACACAATGGATCTGTAAGGTCGAAGTGATTAACCCCCCTCCCACTCATTCTAAATTCTAAAAAAAAACCTATTTTATATTACTAAAATAAGTTATTTAGCTGTCAGATCGAAAGCCTGTTTAATTATGTTTATTTATGTTCATACGATACTCATCGTCGAGATCGCGTTTCAACGATCGAGGAAGCAATTACTTAATGAAGCGATAGAGACAAATATACGTGGACTCGGAGGGCATCTACCTGGAAGCTAGGAGCAAATAATTCGCGAAACAACGGCAATTTTTACGATCTTTACCTGGAATAAATCAAACCACCCGGACGTTTGTTTTAGCGACAACGCCAGCCACCGCCAAACGGAAATAGAGGTGGAGGAGCTTAATGGGGACATCGATCTGGAGGGTTGGGGACGTCCGGCCACGTTGTCGGATCGTCGATAAAAGTAGAAGCGTGTCGGATGTAATTAATCGTATAATTAGTGATGGTCATACTGGTACGAGGGTCGTCTAAAAGTTTTCAACCTCAGAGAATTATCTTGTAGATTGTAGACCGCGACCTTATTGATCTATTGTGTCCCCCTTTCTTGAGATATCACTAATCATACAGTCTCAGGCCTTTGACAAAAGCCAGTATCTGAGGTGGTTTTATAGAGGTTAGTTCTCCATCTCCGATAACAGTCGTACTGAAGTTTATGGTACGAATGGTTGTCGTCTCGGCGCCCTCAGTGATGAGATGTTCTGGAGTTTCCCTATTTTCCCCATAGAGTCTGCATTTGCCGTTGCTTCTTAGCTTCAACTACTGCACTTACCGAGGTGTTCATTGAGGAGACGGATGGTCGGCTGTTAAAAATCCCGTGACAATCCGAAGATTGTTCTTACTTAAATCAAGGAAAATCTTTGATATTCTCGGTCATAACTTTTGAGAAGTTCCTTCGAGTGTCTTACGAGTAGACCGTTGGAAGTTTCTCATTCCAGGTTACGAATGGAGTCTTCCAGCTTCGAGCGCCTCTTGCAACTTGGGATCTTGGTGAATAAAAGTAAGTCCCTGGCTAACTCTGGCGAATACGGACAGTGATTTAACAGTTTAAGCTGTTTCTTTTGAATATCCGCCATGGAAATCGCAGAGGTATGATGTAGAATGTAGAATGTAGAATAAGTAAGAGGGGGGATTAATCACCGCGACCTTAAAGATCTATTGTGTCCCCCTTTCTTGAATTATATTTCTATAACTCATCATACATCCTGTTGTAGGGGTGACAGGGTATTTTCCCATCCCCCTCCGACAACAGACGTTCATCCTCCGAGGAGTGGGCATGTACCTCCTACGAGGGTATAGATAAACCCTTCCACGGTTGGGGTTTAGCCCTCCGTACCCTTCACAGTCGGGGAGCTTGTCTTCGGCTGAGGTACCTGTGAGGTGGAGGCTGGAGGATCTATCTCCATTTTTTGCACCTCGTTAACTTGGTCTCTCATTAGACCTGATACCGGTGTTGTCCCGAATCGATAATATAGGTTATATCCCTCTGTCTCTATTGCCTCTTTGGATTTGAGGCCAATTACACCGCAAGGGTTAGTTGGTCCACTTCTACAGAGCCCCGCATGTAGGAGTAAGGGAGACGAGAATACAATGAGTTGTCCCCTGGTGCCCCAAGGTTGAGACCAGTAGAGGCTAGTCTTCTATCTAGCCACGCATCCCTTTGATCTGGTCCCGCCATTGTGTCCTCTAGGTCCAAGCGGTTAAGCTAAGACCCCCCACACCCTCTGCCCGTGATACATGACCACAGTCATTAGAGGGTGCCTGGTATGAGGAATAGGGGTAGCCCCGTCCGGCATCGTTATATGTCTCAGGAGCTTCCCCACCAACGACAAGGTGTTGCATCTCCTAGGGGAAGGGAGGTATGATATGATAGCCCATTGTCTTGGCGAAACAAAACTTCTTATTCCGATCTGGCCGTATTGCTGCGATTTCTATCTTCAGTTTATTAAGTAATGAGGCGTTGTATTCTTCTGTAATGGTGTTCCATTTCTAAAGATAATTAAGATACCTTGTATTTATTTTTTAAGATTACTCTGAAAAAATGTAAATACAATTCAGCAGCAGTTATAATTCTCTCTTTATTCCAATACTCCCCAATAATGATTTATTTTGCTGCATCGTTATTTTTTCGTTATCTGCCGACAGAGTGGCCGGTTGGCTGTTAACAGTGAGGTCCGCTGATAGAGGTTGATATTCAGTAGGATCTACATCCATCAGTACCAGCACCGGAGAGAAGTTCGTGAATTCGTATCCATATCAATCCGGATCTAGTCATCTCTACTTTGGAGCTATTCCTCCCTCATCATGCTTCGTCTATAGTGATTTATAAGAGATTTTTTGAGGCACAACAGTTCTACATGAGTTCTACATTCTTGACGATCAAGTGGCATAAAATTAACCATGATTGGCCGTGGTGGCCCACGATGGCTAATGCTGTCATTGTTTTCTACACACGTGTACACATAATGGCTATGATTGTATTGAAATAACCATCGTCAAGAATGGATTGTCTTGTATTGGGTCTTATTTTTTTCAGTTTTTGGACAATTACTTCATCAAACGGAACATCAAAATCATGTTAGCTTAGAAAAGTGTCTGTCGGCTTCACGATTCTGTCTTAATGGCGATATTATTAAGTTATTTTTAATATTTATCTATAATTATCAATTGAAGTAATTTTTCTTAAGCGTCTTTTTTATATTCAGGTGGTTACTATACATACATTCTGTATTATAGTGAATTCTATTTCTGATAGTCCAAATCTATATTCCTTGAAGTAATCATTGTTTTCCTTGATTACATATTATCTAATGTTGTTGATTACTTGCCCATTGTTTATTTTCCTATCTTAATTTAACTTTGTTTATTTGATAGTGGCTTCATCGCTATCGATTACATCTATATTATCAGGGAAGCATTAATTTAGTCGAAGTCGAACAAGAGAATGAAAATTACCACTATGGAAGGGGGGGGGAGTTAATCACCGCGACCTTATGGATCTATCGTGTCTCCCTTTCTTGAGATATAATTCATCATACAGTCTCAGGGCTTTGATAAAAGCCAGTACCTGAGACGGTTTTAGAGAGCCCGATACGTGATCGATATCAGTCGCACCCTCGGTCACACCTAAGTTTATGTTAAGATTGGTTGTGGTCTCGGTGCACTCAGTTATTTGTTCTGATGTTTTCCTATTTGTTTGTTAGCTTCAATTATCTGAGGTGTTCATTGAGGAGACAGTGTGCTCACCCAAAACACTGTGACCATCCGAATACTGTTCTTACTTAAATCAACGGAAATCTTCAATTTTTCTCGGTCGTAAGTTCTAGGAAATTTCTTCGAGTGTCTTACACCGTTGGAGGATTTCAATTTCAAGTTACGGATGGAGTCTTCCAGGTTTTTGACTTCTGCTTTATGTTGGTTTCCACTTGGGAAGCAGAACGGTTCTCGTCCAGTTAGTGGAGTGTTTGCTCCTTTTCTAGCTAGATTATTGCTTTTTCATTGCCTTCTATCCCTTGGTGAGCTGGCTTTCAGAGTAGGAGGACTATTTTCTTGCCTAATTTGTTCAGCTTCTCTAGGCATTATCTGGCCAACTACGAATTGATGGTTATTGAGTTGATAGCATTTAGTGCTGCTTGACTATCGGATAAAATTGCTATTTTCTGTTTCTGATAATTCCTATCTAAAAGAAGTTGTACACATCTTTCGATAGCGTAGATGTCTGTCTGTATAATGCTGGAGTATTTGCCTATTGGTTGGGAGTATTTAGTTTCCGGCCCAAATACTTCTATCCTTCCTCTCTTCTTGCTTTGGTTTTGGAAGCATCAGTATACCACGTTATGGTGGCCTTTTTACTGCTGAGCAAACGTTCCTTTCTTCCAATTCTTTTTGTTGCTCAATTTTACAGAAAGGTGTTTCTCAAAGTTGTACATTCTTGGTATGGCATCTATTGGGAGTTGGAAGAGTGGACTTTTTCTTTTGGATGGCTCCTCATTTGACAATTCTTCCAGTGCTGTTTTCGTCAGTGACCATTCTAATTGTTGTCTCATTGGCATATTTGCCAATGACAATGTGCGTTAGGTCTAGAATGGTCTTCATTGTTGCTATTGGTTCTTATGTCTTTTGTGATGCAGATACATGCCAGTCTGCATTTTGCACAGGTTTTGCCTATAAACTCTCTTACTATACCCCTCTTGCTTTCCGCAAACAATGAAAACAAATCTACTAAGGAAGGGCTTGTTTGTTTGACCAGAAAGACACCCAACACAACGGCAATGTTGTCAAACCCATTAACAAATCGACTTATCTCTTTACAAAGGATAAGCGTTCATATAAAATTATCGCGTATTATTCTTGTCTCGTCGATGGTCCTTTCGAGCCGAGAATCGACGTTGCCGACGCTGCCGCCGCCGTTCCTTTCGATCGCAGCAGGCCACGAAACAAACGATTACGAACCTTATTAGTAACATGCGAGAGGCCCGAGTGAGAGGTCGCTAGTTGGTACTACCGCTCTTATTCTACAAGTGGCGCGTCTAGCGTCAAAATAAGCGCCTTTTAAAATTTGTTTTTATTTTTTTTCGGGGAATTTTTGTTCGTTCTTCATCTGGATTTTTTTGCCAAAGTGTGTTTGACTTGAAGAAAACTTACTAGTTTTAGCTGTGAAGTGTTGATAGTTGTTATAAATTGTTATAAAGAGCCGACTGTAATGGATTGTATGCGTATATTACATAGCCGAAATTGGTGACCTTGGTTTGGATTTCTTTGAGATGCCATTGAGCACCGTGTGCGTTAGTGTGAGTATAGTTTTTTACGCTCCTATTATTAATGTACTGTTATAAATAATGGATTTGGTTTGAAGATAATTGTAAAGCAATTTTGAAGACTGGATTATTTAAATTAAATAGGATAATAAAATTAATGTGTTTATTAAATTAGATTTAAATATATTATAATCTCATATTTTGGTTATCAGTGTTATTGTTTGTAAATAATGGGTCGATGCATGAGATGAACGACAAGAAATATGGTGAAACAATTTTAATAACAATAATTCTTGAAATGGAAAGAATACAATAGGATTACCTTTGGTATTAGTAAATCAATTTCAAACTTCAAACTGAGGAGCGAATATACAAAATACCGAGCGGTACGAAAAACGGGCATGTATTTTAAAGTTTGATATATTGTGTTCTAGTGGACTGATGTTGATGATCTTTTAAAAAATGTATAGCTCAATTATTTGACTTTTTAGTTTGTCTTTCTAAATTAAAAATGAAAGTTTCCATCTGTCAATCATACGAGGGAACACAAAATGTTGTTATTTTGGTGAACGTTTGGAACACCCTGTGGAATATGTTTACAAAGCAAGAAATTTGAAAATAATTTTATCATCTTGGTTCATCTCAGTAGCTTTATTTTTTTGGAATATTCTTTCTTTTCTTTTAAAATATGCGCTTTTGAAGAAGACACTAACATTTTTTCGTAATTTTTACATTAAAACCATGCCTTTGCTTTTGGTCCCAGTCAACTATTTATATGTAATTTTAGTGTTATTGAGAAACTGTATTATTATTGTCTGATGGCAGTTAGGCAGTTACTCTAGTAGAGATGGTTTTAAGTCCAGAAGTTGTATCCGCTATAGTTGCTTTAATTGAAGATGATATAGATCAAAATTATGTCGCTAATAGATTTAGGTGTGTACGAAGTACAATGTTGTCTTCCTCGAGACAAGTTCATATGCTAGACGTTGAGGAACCTTCGTATGAGAACTTCTAATCAAGACGATCGATTTATTGTTAGTTTATCGCTAAGAAACCGCCGTTTCCCAGCTTCTAAAATTTTTAATGATTTGCACCTAAGAAACGTTCATGGAAATGAAGGGACTGTAAGAAGATTAGAGAAGCAAATCTTATGTCAAGAAAGCCGGCTTCGGGACTAAAACTTACTAGGTCATAAGTCATAGCTTTAATTTTAATATAAAAATTACGAAAAAGTGTTAGTGTTTTCTTCAAAAGCGAATAGCAAAAATAAAGCTATCGAGATGAACCAAAAAACAAACTATCGAGAACGAATGTACCTAGATTATAAAATGATTTTTAAATTCTTTGCTGTCTTAACATATCCCACAGGGTGTTTGAAACATTCAACACAACAAACATCAACAAAAATATCAACATTTTATTTTCCTTCCCATAATTCACAGATAGAAACTTTCATTTTTAATTTAGAAAGAGATACTAAACAGCCAAATAATTTAGCTACTAATATTTAGATATATTGAAAATATACTGAAAGGAATAAAAGGAAATTAGAGACAACAGAAATGGACGCGATTAGAAGAGCAATGAGAATTTCACGGAGGATAAGATCAGAAATGAAGACATTAGACAACAAATGGGAATAGAGGGAACAATAGTAAATGATATAGAACAAAAACAATTAATATGGTACGGCCACGTTCAGAGAATGCACAATGAAAGAATTCCAAAACAAGTCATTCATTGGATACCACCTGGTAAACGAAAGAGAGGACGTCCCAAGAAAACATGGATGGAAGGAATAAGAAGGTCGATGAGCGAGAAAAATCTGACCGAAGATCAATGGGAAAATCGCACAGGGTGGAAGTTAGGCATCGGACAACGTCGTAGGACGTTTTGACCCGAATTTATATATATTGCTTAAATTATCATCAAAAACGGCCCACTAGAACGAAATAGGTAGAAAAGTTATAGATTTTATGTTTTCAGTGGTATTCTGTATAGGTATCTGACAAAATTCCAGTCTTATTAGTATATATGAGCAATTACTGATATTAATGAGTCTTAATCTAATCACAGTTATTTTGAAATTTAAAGGGCATCCACACTGATGTATCTTTAATTATTATTAAAAACGCTGGTTATTTCGGTGGTGTACATTACGTCAGCAATATCTGGATGGTTATTGAAGAGTAAATTTATGTTGGTGTACACATGTCTGTGATTGCATTTTTCATCATTTAGAAAATCTTTGGACTTCTGTTATGATTATTTCAGTTTCTAGATTATTTTATTCTTTTGTTTCTAGATTATTGTTATGATTATTTCAGTTTCTAAGGAGATTCTTGTTGCTATTGTACCAAGAAGCATCCTAGCAAGTACCTTGCTTTGGAATTTCAGCTTCAGCTTGTCAAGCTGATCTATGATTTTTGAGATATACTATGATACATTACATTAACAGGTCGTTGAACTTAGTCAATTAAAAATCAGTACCTCCATTTTGATCAATTTGTTTATAATGGCAATTGGCAAGTACATGCCGTTCTCTAGATATTTGTATATTTGTATTTGTTTTCTTAATTCATTGATGAGCGATAACAATACATCTACACAAAACGGCTGCTTAATATATTTACCGTAATTTAAATAGAAATGGGTTTACCGTTTGTGTGGTGGGATCTTTCCTGGAACCATATAAAATATCTAAAAATATTTAAATCAAACTAAAGCAAGAATGCGCTTTTTCATTTCAAATTGCCTGGATTGGTTGAAGTCACTGAGTTGTGGATTTTGTTTTCGAAGTCTTCTAGGTAGGCTGGAGATAATTTTTTTATTTTGTTATGATGTTTGCATTTTGGTTTGATTTATTCTTCTGACATCTTATGAATTGACTAGCATGTACCCGCGACTTCGTTCGCGTCGAATTAATCATTTGTAATGGTGATATGATAAAGCTAAGCAAGAATTTTCATTAACATACAAACTTGAGCAGAATCGTGGTTAATCAATTGCCCAACTTTTTGGAACACCCTGTATGATTTTTTAAAAAATTTCAAAATATGTAAAAAACAAAATCAATTATACGTGTCCAAGCGTTTTCCCGAAAGACTAACCGTTTTTTAAATAACAAATATTGTAATATTTGAGGGGCGTTTTCACCCTCTTGGAATTTGAGATTCGAGAAACCCTTCCTTATCGAACCTCTATACTCCACAGTCAATCCGTTTGCCAAAATCAGCATTAAACGTCAAGCAGTTTAAGCAGAATCGTGATTACTCAATGGTCATATTTTATGAAACACCCTCTATAAATTTTTAAAAAATCTTAAAATATGTAAAACAACAAAATAAAATATCCATGTTTAAGAATTTTTCCGAAAAACTCACCGGATTTTAAATAAAAAATATTCTAATATTTGAGGGTTGGTTTCACCCCCTTAGAATTCGAGTTTCGAAAAATACCTTCTTATCGAACCTCTCCTAAGGTCAATCCGTTTTCCCAAAAATTAGCTTTTTACGTCAAGCGCTTTAAGCAGCATCGTGATTAATCAATGACCAGATTTTTTGAAACACTGTATACATTTTTAAAAAGTCTTAAAATATGTAAAAAACAAAATAAAATATACGTGTTCAAGCGTTTTTTCGGAAACTTGATCGTTTTTTAAATAAAAAATATGGTAATACTTGAGAGGTGGTTTCACCCTCTTGGAACTGGGATTTCGAAAAATCCCTTCTTATCGAACCACTACACCCTAGAATCAACCTGTATGCCATAATTGAGCTTCTTACTTTGAGTGGTTTGAGCAGGATCGTGATTAATCAGTGAGTCACTTAAGAATTTTATATATTAGTATAGATTATTTGAGGGGCGTTTTCACCCTCTTGGAATTTGAGATTCGAGAAACCCCTCCTTATCGAACCTCTACACCACATAGTCAATCCGTTTGCCAAAAATCAGCTTTAAACGTCAAGCAGTTTGAGCAGAATCGTGATTACTCAATGGCCATATTTTATGAAACACCCTGTATAAATTTTTAAAAAATCTTAAAATATGTAAAAGAACAAAATAAAATATACGTGTTTAAGAGTTTTTCCGAAAAACTCACCGGTTTTTAAATAAAAAATATTCTAATATTTAAGGGGTTGTTTCACCCCCTTAGAATTCGAGTTTCGAAAAATCCCTTCTTATCGAACCTCTACACCCTAAAGTCAATCCGTTTTCCAAAAATCAGCTTTTTATGTCAAGCGCTTTAAGCAGGATCGTGATTAATCTATCATCAGATTTTTCGAAACACCCTGTATACATTTTTAAAAAATCTTAAAATATGTAAAGAAAGAAAATAAAATATACGTGTTTAAGCGTTTTTTCGGAAACTTAACCGTTTTTTAAATAAAAAATATTCTAATATTTGAGGGGTGGTTTCACACCCTTAGAATTCGAGTTTCGGAAAATCCCTTCTTATCGAACCTCTACACCCTAAAGTCAATCCGTTTTCCAAGAATCATCTTTTTACGTCAAGCATTTTAAGCAGGATCGTGATTAATCAATGACCAGATTTTTCGAAACACCCTGTATATATTTTTAAAAAATCTTAAAATATGTAAAAAAAGAAAATAAAATATACGTGTTTAAGCGTTTTTTCGGAAACTTGACCGTTTTTTAAATAAAAAATATTGTAATATTCCACCCCCCTTTTTACCCCCTTAGGGGATGAATTTAAAAAAATCCTTTCTTATCTTACGTAAACATCATAAAAGGAACCCCTGTGCAAAATTCCAGCTTTCTAGGGTCAAGGGTTTGGTCTGGGCGTTGATGAGTCAGTATCAGTCAGGACAGTCAGATTTATATATATAGATATAAAATGTTGGATGTTGGATTTAGGGTTACTTTTAAAACAGTTCCAAGAATAAGCCATAATTTATATTATCGTTACAAATAAATTTTTCACAATTATTGGAATATTTAAATCTCGATTTAAACATTTTGATTTCGATACTTTTGGACGTCTTTTTCGATCTTTTGGACGACTGTAAATT